TTTTTTTTTTTTTTTTTTTTTTTTTTTTTTTTTGGGGGGGTGAATCGTTTCCTGTTTTCTTGCTTTACTCCATATCAGTTGGTGGCGGTAATGCACAATTCACAAGTCTGCCAACCGCCATAAAATCTCATAAGAAGAAGAAGAACCATGAATATACTTTGAAACAAAAATAAACAATTGCAACCAATAATCCAGAAGTAATTGCTTTGACCTAAACATAAATAGATGAAAACTGCAAGATAATGCTAACACAATAGTAGTGAAGCAAAGTTGCAATCTAATGTTTAAGTTTAAGCATTATACATCAGAATAAAAGAATAAGGGACAGGTGATAAACGCAAACTGAACCACTTTACTACACAACACAGGTTCATTCCACAAACAATTTTTCAGATCTGCAAATGCAGCCTCACACTCTGGAGTCCATTTAATCTTGTTTGGGCCAGATTTACATGTTAAGTCACTAAGAATGGCTGACTTGGTGGAGAAGTTGGGGATTAACCAACGGTACCAGCCAGCTAAACCTAGAAAAGATCTTAGTTTTTTCTTAGTTGTAGGAGGAGGACAAGCAACAAGGTTATCAATCTTACTCTCCTGAGGGCGGATAACCCCACCCCTGATGACGTAACCCAAGTATTCAACCTCAGTCTTTGCAGAGTGATACTTTCCAGGGTTGATGACTAATCCAGCTGTTTTAATTCATTGCAGGACATTTGTCAGGTGCTTCATGTGGTCTTTTCATGTCTCACTGAACACCTTAATGTCATCGATGTAGGCTGCTCCATAACCTTCAGCCTCCTTTTAAAACCAAGTCCATCACCTGTTAGACTGTAGCTTGAGCTCCATTAAGTCCAAAAGGCATAGTCCTAAAACGATAAAGTCCACTCGGAACCCTAAAAGGGGTCAAATCCTGTGAGGACGCTGTTAATGGAACTTGCCACTAACCTTTACAGAGTTCAAGTGTGGTAAGGTACTTAGCACTCCCCAAATGCTCAATAAGTTAATAAACTCTTGGCATTTGATAAGCATCAAAAACAGAGACAGCATTAAGTGATGAAAAATCAACACAAAATATCTGTCTTGAATCATTTTCTTGGGAACAAGCACCATAGGGCTGCACCACTAACCTCTGAAAGGTTCTATGATCCCCATAGCCACCATTTCTACCACATCCTGTTTCAGTGCAGGCATGAGCTTTGCTGGAACTCTGGAGGTTGTATCCCTGATAGGTGGTTGATTAGGGCTGCAAATTATGTCATGCTTTATGAGATGAGTGTAGCTTGGTTTTGTGCTGAAAGTTCATCTTACCACTCTGGAGATGGGTGGCTTACATCTGGCAAAAGCTGTTCCCCACAATTAGATGGAAAGAATTACTCTTGAAGATCTTCTTCGTCGATTACAGCATGGGCCCACAACTGCATTTATGGAACTAGACGGTCAATCAATTTTTCAACATGTTGACATGAAAGACTTGCTGTTTTTTATGGTAATCTGGCATGTTGAACTTGTAAGTAACAGGACCCACCCTTCTGTTTAAGCAACACTTTTTGTCCTTTCTTAAAGGTTCTCCTCCAGGCTGTTTTATCATAGTTCTACTTTTGCCACTGCTGGGCTTCTACTAGGTGAGCTTGTCCCTCATTTTCAACACATACGAGAGTGATGTACACTGTCTTTAATGCCTCTTTGAGGACATCTAGTGGACCCCTGACAGAATGACCATACAAGAGTTGAAAAGGAGAAAACCAAGTAGATGCTTGAGGTACCTCTCTACAAGCAAATAGCAGAAATTGTAACCAATGATCCCAGTCTTTCCCTGAGTCTTTTACAAACTTCTTCAATATGGACTTCAGAGTTTTATTAAACCTTTCAACATGTCTATTGGTTTGAGGATGGTATGGATTTGTTTTGATTGCACTAATTCCCAAAAGTTAATAAATTTCCTTCAATAGTTTAGAAGTAAAGTTTGATCCCTGATCTTTATCAAACAATTAGCTATTTGGCGGGCCTTAATTCCTCTCAATGGGAAAGCTTCAGGGTACCTTCTTGCATAGTCGCACACCACTAGCATGCATCTATGTCCCGAGCTACTTCTCTCCAATGGCCCAACAATGTCCATGCCAACACGAGAGAAGGAAGTGTCTATTATAGGCACAGGAATAAGTGGGGCTCTGTCACCTTTCTTACTCAGAGCTGTCAACCGACACTCAGGACATGATTAGCAGTACAGAACAGTATCTGAAAACTGTTGAGGCAAAAAAAAAAACGATCAGACATTCTGGAGAAGGTTTTCACATATCATTAATGACCCGCCCAAGGAACCGAATGGGCCAACTGTAAAACTATTTCCCTTAAGCTAGTGGGAACCACTAGCTGGTCACCCACTTTGCTACGACGATACCAGCGTAGGCATTCTTTAAAATGTTAACTTCCCGAACTGCCTCTGTAATGAGTGTTGATTCTTGGGAACACTTAGCAAACACAGGTAGTGAAGAGGGGTCCTGCCCAATATTGCTTGAAACCAACCGTAGCTTAATTAAATTCAATTCAGTTTATTTCTATAGCGCCAATTCACAACTTATGTCATCTCAAGGCACTTTACAGTTCAACCAGATCATACAGTCAAATTGATTTAAAGTTTTCTATCTAAGTAAAACCCGTTGATTGCGTTGACTCATTGACTCAAATGCAATCCCTCACACTAAGCATGCTTGTAGTGACAGTGGAGAGGAAAAAACTCCCTTTTAACAGGAAGAAACCTCCAGCAGAACCAGGCTCAGTGTGAGCGGCCATCTGCCGAGGCCGACTGGGGTCAAGGAGATAGAAGCAGAGGTTTAATTCCAGCAACCTTAAAAGCTTTAGGTACATATCCCTG